TGGGGGTGTGCTCAGGTGCACACCAGCCTCATGCAGGTGCCCGCGGGCACACGGGGTTGGCCGGCTCACCCCTGGAACGTGCGGAGGAAACGGAAAGGAACAGGCTGGCGGCTGGGCTTCAGCTTTGCTTGGATACACGGGGAACCAGGGCACAGTGTGGTCGGAAGGTCACCTCGGGCTGCTGGCTTGGAGGCCCGGAGGCCGTGCCGAGGCCCCTCCTCCATTTCCCTCATTTTGTCTTCTCTCTTTTCCTTCACTTATTCTTTCCCTCTTTCTTTTCTGCTTTGAACATGGAAAGCAAAACAGACGCTGAAGTTTTTTCCAGCTGTGATATGGACTAGCTGTGGTTTTCCACAGAAAGCTGCCCACTTCCACCTCTACTGAGCATAATTCAGCTAACCCAACCCTACCTCTGCGAGCCTCACAGAGAACCTCAGGAGAGTTGTTTTGTGAGGGAGCCCTGTGGTTTGAATAAAACTTTTCTCGATTCAAATGCAGTAGACAGGGCTAGGGGGTGGGGAGACTGTTTCCTGATCCCTCACTGTGGTAGGGACATCCAGTCTCTGTGTCTGGAATGCTGCAAAGTTAGTTCCAAGTTTGAAGCCTCCAGAGGAGCTGTTTTCAAACCTAGTGAATTGTGCCCATTACCAAAATGTATGAGAAGCTTGAGTTTTAAAATTAAGTATATGCCAGGCACAGTGGTAATGTACTGTTATTCCCAGCTACTCAGGAGGCTGAAGCAGGATGGTCACAAATTCAGGGCCCGCCTTGAGCATTTAGACCATTCAGACTCTGTCCTAAAAATTTTAAAGGGCTGGGACATGTCTCAGTGGTCAAGTGAGTACCTCACAAACATGGGCCCCTGAATCCAGTGCCTAGTATTACCACCAAAAAAGCAGAAGTCTGTGTGTTTTGAGACAAGGTCCCACTGTGTACTTCAGACTGGTTTTGAACTCACAGTGTAGGCCAGGCTGGCCTTGAACTCACGGAGACCTGCCTGCCTCAGCCTCCTAAGCACTAGTATGATAGCCATGTGTCATGATTATGTCTGACTTGGATGTGAATTCTTTCATCTTCTGGAGGTGTGCATAGTCCCATTTAGATGGTTGATTTGATTGCATGTAGCCCTTTTCTAGCCATTGGCTGAATCACACTTCAGTGCCCTCCTGCTGCTGACCTTTGACTTCAGGAGCTGCTTAGGAATGAAAAGGTCACTAACAGATAGTAAAACTTTGAAACAGAACATGCTTCCAGGTTTTCTGAAGCAAAATTCTCAAGGTACTGGTACTTAAAAACATACATGAGCAAGCAGTGATGGGCTTAGCTGAGGTGTAGAATCTCACAGTGATGACAACATGCAAAAACCTGGGCTGTTTCCCCAGAGCTGGGGGTGGAGCCCCAGGCTCCGCACATGCTGTACAACTAAGCTGTGCTTCCAGCTCTGCCTCAGGTTGCAGAACCTAAAGTTTAGAAACAAAATTCCTTTCTCTCTCTCTCTCTCTCTCTCTCTCTCTCTCTCTCTCTCTCTGTCTGTATCTGTCTCGCCTTCTCTCCCCCTTTTTCCCTCCCCCACCATGTAGTTTTTTGGAGTATCAGGAATCAAACTCAGGACCTTTTACTTGCCGGGTAGGCTCTGTGCTGCTGAGCTACATTCCTGGCCCTCTATGTATTATTTTTACGGGCTTGAAATGGAGTCTCGTCATGTAGTTCAGACTGTCCTTGAATGTACTGGGTAGCCCAGCCTGGCCTCAAACTTGTGGTGATCCTCCTGCCTCGGCCTCTTTAATACTGGAATGATAGGTGTGTCCCACCATGCCTTGCTTGAAGCCCTGGGTTTTTAAGAATTCATTGAAGGGGGCTGGGGATTTAGCTCAGCGGCATAAGCGCCTGCCTTGCAAGCAGGCAGTCGTGAGTTCGATCCCTGGAACTGATAAAAACGAAAAAGACAAAAAAAAAAAAAAAAAAAAAAGAATTCATTGAAGTTTAACAGCTGTGACCATGAAAACATCCAGGAGTTTTTACCCATTCACACGCAGCAGGCAGACCCCTGCTTTCACCCGTTGGGGAGCCCTGGTATAGATAAACGTGCAGCCCTGCCAGTGGACAGGGTCACTTCCATTTGTTCTGTGCTTCTAATGTTTTTTCCCTGAAAGGAACTGGGGAGATATCATTAACGAAGACACTGCTAGACCTGGTTTTGTTTTGGTGGAAATATTTCTCCCATAAAATGTAGCAGCATGACACTGCTGATAGCTGGGCACCGGTATGGGGTGCGTCTCCTGAGGCAGCTGAGCGCAGGTCCCCTAAATGCCAGGCAGCTGATTGCTGCCAGCAGGCACGGAAAACTGCGGGGCTGCGGGATACTTTCTGATCCAGGCAGTGGTTTGTTATTCCTGCTGCTCACTCCGGAGGGCGTTGGGGCACATGACCTGGAGCCCCTGTTGCTGCTACTCTCCTCTCTGTGGGGTGTGGCCCCCAGGTCTGCCAGTTGGGCTGGGAATATGGGAACCACTGCTTCCATTCTGAATGGGCTGCAATCTATGTGTTTAAACCGAAGCATGGGAACCGGGCAGAGGTTATCAGCAAATTCCTGCAGATCCTATTTTATGCCAGATTTGGGCATCACACACTTTACTAGCCTCGGGGTCCGTCAAACAATTTTCACCTCTGGATGCTCGGCATCCTGTTGTGTAGCAGTTGAAAAAGACCCGACCCACCCCCAAAATGTGCTCTTTTCCCCGGTGGCTTTGTGGTATACGAGTATCCGAATGCTTTTACCTTATTAAGAAACCTAGGCCACCTGAAGATACTTCTGCTGAAGGGGACCTTGTGAATCACGTGACTCCTCGGGTGTCTGAAGCTCTTCCGGGCTTTCTGTGCATTTGCTGAGCAGTCACACTCGGTGGTCCCTGTCACCTGCGTAGGAAGTTCAGAGTTGAGAAGGACCCTGGTAGTTCCTACTCCCCACACTGTTGCCCAGTCCCTCTGCTGGGTTCCTGCAGTCTGAGGGCCTCTTAGATGTGCCCCCCCCAACCCCACCCCGCTGTCTCAGCTTCTCGTCATCGTTGTTCCTGGTCCCTGCTTGTGTCTCCCACATTGCTTCCCTGGGAAGACTGTGCTCAGCTTGTGGGGTGCAGCGCTGTGCTTCCTGGATGGTGGCCTTGCGCAGAAACACTATGCCCTCAGCTCCCACCCTAAAATTGCTGAGATCCTCGCAATTCCTTCAGGAGGCCATCTGCATCCAGCTTTTAAAAGTGGCCTTACTTTTGTTTCTTCCTGGCAGCATCACACCCCTGAGTGCATCAAAACTTCTGCTTCTCTTCTGAAAGGCACACTGAGGCGAAGCCACCCAAGGTGCTTTGTGCCCACGAAGCCTGATTTTCCTGCTGTTGTTTCCATGAGCCCCAAGCTGTGCTGGGCCCCGGGAGCCTTCTCCGCAGGTGGAGCGTCACTGGCCCAAGCCCCGACTCCCTTCTCTTAGCTCACTGCAGAGCGCGTTAACCAGCTTTGGTTTTCTTTTGTCATAGCCACCTTCTTTCTACCTGGCCTTCTCTGGAAAAGTCAGGCTAGGTTTATACGTTCCCCTTACGATCTTTGGATTGTTCCCCACGTATAAATTGATTACTCCTGAAACAAGCAGGACCCTTGTTCCCGGGAGCTCTGCTTGCTTCTGTCCAGTGTCACCTGTCCCCAGCAGCAAGCACACCATCAAGACAGGTGTGGCCTTGTGCTGGGAAAATTGGGATCAGCAATAAAGCGTGGCAGGCAGTCAGAGCTTGCTCTCTCTGGGGACTGTGGGTGCCTAAACCTAACCCTTCCAGCCCTGCTCTGCAGTCACAAATTCTGTTCAGTCGCCTTCCTAAACAGAACTTGCATTTGGGTGACCGGGAGTGGCACCACTCGGGAGGCCAGGTCTGCAGAGTCCCGTGTGTGGATAGAATTTCAAGTAGCGTGGCTTTGGCTGGAAGTGTGTGGTATCAGTGTTGTGCCCTGAGTGTGGTGGAAGGACCACGGCACCCAGGGTTCCCCCATTCCTGTGAGGGCCCTGAACATCTTACACCTTCAGCAAGCTTTAAGAATATAGAATCCATTGTTACTAAGGTCCGCAGTTTTAATTTTAAATTATACGGAGCAGGAGCAGGCCTTATGGGGCAGGGTAATTATCAGGTGATTAGTGAAAAATCTTGAAGGTAATTCTCATTTTGGATATTCGTTTGCTGTAGTTGACAGACTTCCATAAAGCCCCAGGAGCTGCTCTAATGTGTCTGCTTGTGGGGTGCCCATACTCCATAGCAAGGTAGGGTGCGGCAGGCAAGTGGGCCACAGGGCCAAGCTCCACCAGCTCTGTCCCAGTCCGTGCATTCCTGTCTTCCTGGTCCCCACTGAGTTCCGCTTTTTCACCTGCTTCTGTTGTAGCTTGGCATAACTGATGCCATCTTGAGTCCCGCATTTAGCTAGTGCCCTGTATTTGACCCAGGAAAATGGAAAATTACTCAGGGTGTAAGTCCCATGAGAAAAGCAGAATGAGCTGCACCCACAGGAGAAAACTTAACCTGCTCAACAAAAGAAGCAGGAGACAGGTGTCAACCAAAAATTAATGTAAGACTCTAGCTAAATTGTTTCCAACAGGATGTCTTTTATGATTTTGTCTTTTAAAAGCTCTGTAACTTTCCAGTTCAGTGGTACTTATTTTGGACTCTGGACTCTGAAACGGGGATGGGGGGGGGTCTGTATACGAGTAGCCCTGAGCTCAGCTAATTAAATTCAAAATTGATCAGTTTGGCTGCTTGGATTCCTATATTGTTCACCAACGCACCTCACTTCCTCCGGCTTTCTGTACTCTTCTATTATCCACGGGTTTATTAGGTATACTCTAAGCGCTGTTCAGTCCTTCTAATAGAAGTAAGGCTAAAAACCAGGCGTAGGGAAGTGTGGCCAGCATGACAGTGTCGTGGCCCCCCAAAACCTGTGGGCTGCTGACCATTCACTGAACCCCACAGGTCCTGGGCCCTGCGCCCCGCTGGTGCTCTTTCCTGGACAACCTGACAGAAGAATTAGAGGAGAATCCAGAGAGCACGGTTTACGACGATTACAAATTCGTCACCAAGAAAGACCTCGAAAATTTAGGTAAAAACACTATGATTTTTATAAAATTATTTTATTTCATTTTGTTGTTGTTATTGCTGTTCTGAACACTAAGATTGGCTAAGCTGTGTTCCTCTGATTTTCTGAACCTTTCCACCAAATCAACTGTTAAACTGTTCAATTGTCAGAATTGTTCCCTCTGCCTAGAGAGAGCCCAGATAAATCCAGGCTCCAGAGGGCTCTGTCTCTGAAACAAGCAGGACTTCTTTCAGTGCATTAGCTACATGCAGAGAAAGTATCTTAGAAACTGCAGCTAGATAACTTCTGGTTCCCTTTTAGGCCTAATCTAAAACTTAGTCCATAGTCTCTGAGTCTTCAGGTATCAAAGACCTAGACATAGCCTGAGCTTTCCAACCTGAGCCAGTATGAGCCCTGACTGCACACTCGGAAGTCTCCGGCTTTGCAGCCCTGAATTTCTGGGTCAGGAATAGTCCACTGCTGTGCAGGTCAGCTGTGTCACTATGACACTTTACCTGAGGTCATCCATTTACAACGAGAAAAGGTTTCTTTGCCTATCTTCCCAGCACCCGGGAGGCTGATGCAGAAGGATTGCTGTGATTTAAGGCCAGCCTGGGATACACAGTGAGAGACCCTGTCTCAACCACCCCCTCTCCCAAAAAGACCAAGAGGCAGCGCCCTAGACCTCATCATCTTTTTTTTTTTTTTTTTTTTTTTGTCTTTTTCATTTTTATCGGTACCAGGGATTGAACTCACGGCCGCCTGCTTGCAAGGCAGGTGCTTATGCCGCTGAGCTAAAGCCCCAGCCCCGACTTCATCATCTTTGAGACCTCCACTGGACCTCTCCCAAGGGCTCCGTTGCCTTCTCACCACACCTGTTGGACCCAGACTCCAACATTGCTGGCCTGTAGCAATCTGTGGAGTCTCTGCCCATTCTCCCGGCCACAAAGCCCTGGCACTAGACCCTGGCCTGTGCAGCTTGGTGGAGGGTCTCAGCTGGGGTTCATTTCTGTTCAGGTTTTAAAGGTCACAGCCCAGGTATCGCAGAATAAGAAACCTCAGTGCTGGGGTGTGCGTCACCCACCCCCTCAGCTGCTACAGCAGGTGCTACCCTGTTGGGATCTCCTTTGTGGGGAGGGAAACTGAGGCAGAGGGTGGCAGGAGACACCCGCCACCTGGTGCAACCGTGAGACTGAGCAACTGTGCTGGCCTGCTGGCAGTGTGGGCGAGGTGCACCCTGGGCAATGGGACGCACGGGATCCGCTCTGTGCAAGTCTGGACAGCCGAGACAGGCACGCAGTTAAGTAGCAGTTGGCTGTGAAAGAGCACTGGCGGACTAACGAGGTTAATTAAGCAGTTCTGAAGCCTCAGTTATAGCCTGTGTCCCACAGTATAGCTAATCCAGCACGGTTTATTCTTTCAGTTAATGTGTCTGAGAGGCAGCAGCACTGCGTCCCTCCACGAGGTGACTGGCAGACATCCCAGGGCCTCACAGTTCCTTCCCAGCCATTTCAAGGCAGCTTCTCCTTGTCCCTCTGGGGTGCACACACACCCACATCCTTAGGCCAGCAGTGGAGAGTGAAGGTTATTTTGTGGAGATTTGGTTTGGTTTGGTTTTGGTTTTTCATTTTGATTTTTTGAGCCCAGGATGACCTTGAAACCACAGGCATCCTCCTGCCTCTACCTCCTATGTGCTGCAATCTTGACGATGCCCCATGACATCCAGCTTTTGTGCAGTTTTTTAACTACTGCCTTTAGTATAGTTTGGGTACTTCTTTAGTCTCTGTGTTTATTTAGGGTGGGGAAAGTGATTAGTTTAGGTACATTTTGTTTAAATGTAATCTCATTACCTGTTGTAAAAAATCTATGTGGCAGCTCTAACAGCAAGACAGCAGCTATGGGAGAAGGTGTCCTTATGTGCGTCACTAGGGCCTTTTACCATGAAGTGAAGCCCAGGCTGTCACTTCTGGTAGATTTCTGCCTACAGCCTGTGTGGAGCCTCCCAGTTTACCTGAGGGAGAAGACAGGCTGTGTCCACACCCCTGGTTACTCCTCTGCAGTCTTCAGAGCTGTACTGAGCAGTGCTGGGACCTCACGGTCACCACCATGGCCAAGCCTGAGTGGGAAGTGGTTCCATCCATGCAGTGCGAGCAGGGTCACAGAGCTTGGGCTCGATCCCCACTCTGCCCGCCTGCCGGCTCTTGTGCCTGTGCGCCAGGTACAGGCGATGGCCGTGCGGGTACCCACTGTGGCTGGAGCCAGCCGGAACGTGTTCAGGCCAGGTGCCCAGACACTGATGGTGGGGAGCTTTCATTAGGCTCTGATGAAGGGGTGCGAGGATAATGTGGGCCTCGTGCAGAAGAGTGCTGATGTGTGGGGTGCACAGTGTCAGCCCTCTTCTCGGGAAGGCTGGGGCCTTTCTACATGGCTGTGGTGACAGAGTCTTTTGTCTTCAGAAACAAAGGGGATAATGTTCCTCCCAGGCTCCCGCCCTCCCCAGCTCCTGCCAGGCGGCTGGCACCCAGCCCATTTTCTTTGCTTTCTCTCTTTTGAAGTACTGGGGATTGAACCTGGCACCTTTGCTCTGAGCTGCGTCTCCAGCCTTTTTTTTAAAGACTTATTTTTGAGTCAGGGTCTCACTAAGTTACTAAATTGTCCACACTGGGCTTGAGCTGTGACCGTCCTGCCTCAGCCTTTAGAGTGCTGGGATGTCAGATGTGCGCTGCTGCACTCGGCTAAGGGTGGTGCTGATGCAGTGGGCTGAGTGTTCTCTTTCAGTGTTGAAGACCAGTAATTCTCACCCCTAAGTTTTTACCCACCCTAAGTTTTGACCCAGAGTGAAATACGATTGTGATGAAATCGCTGTCCAAAAAAATCAGTTGAGCTTTCTGCAGCCTCACTAAGGGCCACTCTGTTCTGATCCCTGTCCAGGGCTCACGCACCTCATCGGCTCGCCCTTCCTGCGGGCCTACATGCATGGCTTTTTCATGGACATCCGGCTCTACCACAAGGTGAGCGGGGACTGCAGCCTGGGGAGACAGGGAACTTTGCCCTCTGACCCTGCACTAACCACCATCCATGGTCGTTCCACTTCGGAAAGGTGAAACTGATGGTCAACCCATTCGCCTACGAAGAGTACAGGAAAGACAGAATCCGGCAGAAGATCGAGGAGACGCGTGCACAGCGGGTCCAGTTAAAGGTGAACAGAGCCAGCAACTCCCCAAAGAGAAGGATGGGTTCTGTCAAGTGAATTACTCTAAAGCAGCCTGGCCCCTTTCCACCTTTAGTGTCTACCTGACATCTTGTACTTATGTTGGTGGCATATTTGTTTCCAGAGAATGGCACTCAGAGGTTCTCTTGGGAGGGACTTGGTCACCCCATTGAGGAAACCCCTGGTGTTTGGTGTGGGCTGTGGTTTGGGGACTAAGGGTGTCACAGGCAGAGCCCACACAGCCTGTGCAATGCCAGCCCAGACCCCACGTCCCTGCGCGGGGCCGCAGGTGCTCTCTGTCTTCTGATCCCTCTGGGCCCCTGGCCTCAGTGTGAGTTGCTCATGATCCAGTGATGGTGACAGCGAGCCTGTGATCATCTGTGTCCTGCTGGAGGACTGTGCTGGCAGAACTGCCACACGGAGGACCATATTACAGCTTTTCCTTCCTTAGAAACTGCCCAAAGTGAACAAGGAGCTGGCTCTCAAGTTAATGGAGGAAGAAGAGGAGAAGCAAAGATCCTCCTGGAAAAAGAAAGTGCAGGTAAGACCTGAGCGCTTCTCAGCAGTTTGTGGGCAGGGGCCTTACTTTTGCAGTGCATGTGGTATTTCCCCCGTTTTCTGCCCTTACTGAGTAAGGGAAGTTTAGGGAAAAGAAAAGAGTATCAGGAAATTCACCCCATATTCTTAGCCCAGGAAAGGAGGCATTAATATTTTAGTGAATTTTTTTCCTAATTTTTCTTCAAATTACAAAAGTACTGTTGTCAGAGCTCAGTTTCATTTCAGAAATACGGGCATTATCTATGTGGTCTTTGGGGGATCTGAGGCTGTGGGAGATTGAGACGGGAGGATCCCAGTCTAAGCCCAGCCCTGGCAACTAGTGACTTAGCAAGTTGCTGCCTCAAAAAGTAAAAAAGAGCAAAAACCCTGGGTTCAATTTCCTATACTGGAAGAAAGAAAGAACTCTGAAGCTACTGCTGTAAACCAGTGTGTGTAACTTACTCCTCAACAGCTTCATCTTACATGGAATAAAGAGCAGCTCTGGGGGGGCTGGGGATTTAGCTCAGCAGCATAAGTGCCTGCCTTTCAAGCAGGCAGTCGTGAGTTCAATCCCTGGTACCGATAAAAAGGAAAAAGACCCCCCCCCCAAAAAAAAGAGCTGCTTTGGGGGAGGTGACTTGAGATGTCACGGGCATCTGGCCCAATCACTGAGGCTTCTGCCAGTGATGGGTCTCGGTGCTTTGGGGAACAGGGGACACAGGACACTGCAGCCCAGGGGGACATCTTCATTTCCACTCCCCCAAGCAGCACCTGTTCCCACCTTCACCGCACTGGCGCTGCCAGGCTTTTCCTGCGCCTCTTAAGCTGCACGGCCAGGGCTGGGGACCTGGCTGCCAGTTGTAAAGCACTTCAGAGCCCAGGCCTTCCCCTGCCTTCCTTTTGAAGGCAGCTGCAGAGACACAGAGGAGGACGAGCCTGGGGAGCCCTCCCGCAGCGGTGTGGGAAGCCGCCATCCAGGCAGGGCAGCTGCTTTCACGTCGGGAAATCTGCAGTCGCACTGCGCGTTCTTGTTAGCATTACTCCCTGCTGTTGTTAAATGTAGTCGTGGCTTTAATCCGTGCAGGAAGATTCAAAAGGAAACAAATGTTTTCCTAAGGATTTTTTACCCTAAACATAGGCACACAGATGTTGACTTCAGAGTCCCCACTCACAGATGACAGCACCTTGGGTGTCTTCTTGGCTCCGGCTTTTAAAGAATGGTCCGAGACTTGGGGCTGGGGGTTTAGCTCAGCGGCATAAGCACCTGCCTTGCAAGCAGGCAGTGGTGAGTTCGATCCCTGGTACTGATAAAAAAAATGGTCCGAGACTTCAGTGATTTATACTAAGTGTGCCCTGCTCGTTTCTAACGAAGGGCTGTCTGTAAGCCGTCTTTCCAGTCAGGTTCCAGCTGATGTTAAATGTGTGTGTGCTTTGTTCTCTTTCCTTCCAGAGCCTTCCAAATATTCTCACCGACGACCGATTTAAAGTTATGTTTGAGAACCCTGACTTCCAAGTAGATGAAGAAAGTGAAGAATTCAGACTTCTGAATCCACTCGTTTCAAAAATCAGTGAGAAAAGGAAGAAGAAACTAAGACTGTTAGAGCAACAAGAGCTTGACGAAAAAGTAAGATGTCTTTCGGCCTTTAGAATGTGTCACTGTTTCTTTAATGGTCAGAAATTTGAATCTGCCTTTGATTATACTTGAGACATAATTAATTCCCTCCTGGTTGTTTGAATTTTGAGATGTGATCAAAAAATGGCAAACGTTGGCATTTTTAAAAATCATATTACAATAGACGTCCCACTGTCGTCACCCCTCGCAGACCTGACCCGCACTTGGAGCACACACATCCCATCATTCTGGCTGCTTCCCGAAGCAGCTCTGGAGTCCTCTTTCCTGAGGGCCTTCAGCTGCGCCACCCCGGCCACCTCCTTGTCCTGAGTGGATTCAGAATGCCTCCCTCTCCTGGTGCCTATGACTTTGGGGTGAGGCAGTAGTCCCATGGGGCCATGCTGGGTGAACCAGGTGCACACAACCCATCCTTGTGTTGTCTTTTCAGATTGTGCTAAAGGTTTGATAGGAAGGAGTGATCAAAAATACAGTGAGCCACTAAATATTTTAAATCCCAGTAAAAGACACATTGCTACCAGTCGCCCTGGGAACCCTCTCCTGCCTCAGACACACCCACCCCAGGGGTCTGAGCAGCATCTCTGACTAAAGGAGGTTCTGGTGGGTTAGTCCTTGACCGCAGTGCCAGTGCTGGAGGAGGAAGGAGGGTTTCAGTGCGTAACTTCTCCATTCTAGGAGGAGGAAGAGGAGCTGGAAGGCAGGCCGAGCGATGCGGAGAGCTCCGGAAGCTCCGACGACGATAAGGCCTGGGTGGCCGAGGTGCGTGAGCAGCGCCGGCGGCTGCAGCAGGAGGAGAGGGCACGGCGGCGGGAGCAGCGGCTGGAGGACCAGCAGGCTGAGCTGAAGCCCCAGTTCTATGAGATCAAGGCAGGGGAGGAGTTCCGCAGCTTCCGAGACTCTGCTGCCAAGCAGAAGCTGATGAAGTGAGTGGACACAGATGGCACTATGGGGTGGGGGAGGAGCAAAGAGGAAGGGATGTTGAAAAGCACCGGCCTAAGCCGCCAGCAGCACATGCCTATGATCCCAGGATAGGGAGGCTGAGGCGGAACGATCTCTGAGTTCCAGGCCAGCCTGAGTGGGGCCTCACAATGCAGGCCGTCTCAGAAAAAACCGAAAGCCAAAAACAGGCACCAATCCTTAGTTTACTTGTTTGTAAGCAACTCTTTAAAGTCTGGCTGTTGTGCAGCAGTGCACAAGCACAGCCCCTGGAGTGCTAGAGGTGTGTGGGCGCCTATGAGCTGTGGGCCTCCCCTCACCACCTGGCCCCATGGTGGCTGTCTCACTCCAGGGGAGCAGGTCCTTTGCCTCTGGCAGGAAGCAAATGCTATGGGCATCTCAGCTCAGGTCAGCCCATCTCTGTTTACCTGGCTACTGAAAGGCTCATTTGGAAAATTAACCAGCAGTGCCAAGCAGGAAATGGGCAGGAACATCCAAAAGTCCAAAGTGGTGCTGTGGGGTATGGATGATGCCAGTACAGAGAGGCGAGGACAGTATCCAAGCAGGGAAAGGCGAGGGGGGCCGCAGTGGGCAGGAGCTTCACCTGGCTCAGCCGAAGATGCCTTGGGGTTGGGGGCGCCAAGGGCTGCCCAGCAGTTAAATGTGCTGTGTACACCCAAACAGTGCTCGCAAAAAGAGACAAAAGGGGGCCTGGGGATTTAGTTAAAGTGCCTTCCTTGCAAGTGTGCGGTTGTGAGTTCAATCCCTGGTACTGATAAAAATGAAAAAGACAAAAAAACAAAAAGACAAAAGGAGCCTGGTGTATTGGCACAGACCTGTCACCCCATCCCTTAGGGGGCTGAAGCAGGAAGATCTCTTTTAAGTTCGAGGCCAATCTGGACCACTTAGCTGTGAAAACATAAAACATAAAAACGTAAAACAAACAAAAAGAAATTGAAACAGTGAAGTACTATGTTGTAAATATTTTCTATAATGAGAAAAAAGCAGAAGTGGTGTCGAGGTCATCAGGTATTTAAGCAGTGAACATGCTGGGCACCCGGATGTGAGGGTGGAGGTGGCAGAAGGGCAGCCCAGGACCTGCTCCCCAGCCTGCCCACCCAGAGGAGCCGTTTGTGCTGCCCAAGGGGGCAGAGGAGGGACAGCGGGGAGCAGGAGTGGCAGCAGCAGCATGCATCTCCTCTGGACCGGCTCTCCTCGCATGCCACTGGCCTTGGTGCCCCCGCACGCCCCTTCCCAGCCGTGGCAGCTGCTCTGTGTCCACTGCGGGATCATGAGCGAGCGATGTGGCTGTGGCTGTGGCTTGGTGTCAGTGGCTTTGCCTGGCTGGGTGTTCGCTTCTGTGCTGGGTCTGTAGCTAGTGGCCGACTTGCAGCTCTCTTCACAGCTCGGTATTTGGGCTTTCAGCAGACTCAAGGGGCGCACACCCACAATCCGAGCATTGTGCAGGCTGAGGCAGGAGGACTGCAAGGTCAGTGCAGCCCGGGCGCCTTAGTGACTTCATGGGACCCGTCTCTAAATTACAAAGAAACTTTATAGTGGACTGGGGATGGAGAAAAGCATGGACATTGGGTTCAGTCCTCAGTATTACAAAAGAAAAGCAGAGAAGAGAAAAGGAACATGCCTTCATGTTATCTGTGTACCCCCACTTCCCTTTCTCTACAAAGCAATTTAAAAAGTCAGTTAAGGAGAGTTCTTTTTAATTAAATATTCCTAATTAAAGAAATTGTAGAGTAGTGTGTGTTTTTAGATCTCAAAGCAGTAAATTGTTCAGCTTTCCTGGGGCATCTAATAAACACCTAATTTGGTGTTCCCCCTTGCAGGCTGTGCCCTTCTTTTGCTTTGCTGTTTTTCTTTGCCATTCTAATAACTAAGGCCTTCCCTGGGGAGCCCCTCATGCCATGAGTACTCCCACTTCCCCCTCAGAATTTTAAAGCCTGCAGGTGATTTGGTTTGGTTTGTTTGTTGTTGCTGTTTTTTTGAGATAGAGTCTTGCTGCACACCCCTGTCTGGCCCCAAACTTGAGGGGACCCTCCTGCCTCAGCCCCCTGAGGGCTGGGGAGCCCAGCGCAGGATTCTGTTGTAGTTGCTCAGCTTTCCAGCTGGCATTAGTCCAAAGTGCTTGGCATGACTGTTGCTTAGAAAGGCCTCAGCACCTGCAGCCCTGGGCCATGGCGCAAAGCAGGGCCCTGCTTGCCACTGTGTCACCAGGTGTCTCTGAGGTGCTTGGAAGCTGGGCGCCAGGCATAGCTCAGGGTCACTGCACTCTGATCTACTGCACCCATCCGGGCCCAGCGCTGCCAGTGGTGCAGACGACAAGTCCTCGCAGGGGCAGGGCAGCCAGGTCCTTCTGCCAGGCGTCAGTTCCCACCATGGACCAGGCAGGCTTCTCCTCCCCAGGGTGGGTGACCCCGCACTGTCCCAGCCATGCTGAGTTTGCAGCTGGCTGGGAGAGATGAGTGTCTCGGGAGCAGTTGCAGGCACCTGGTTAGGCCTGAGCTCTGCCTTGGATGGGGAACCTGGAGGACGCTGCTCCCCGGCCTCTGCCCTCCCATCCTCTGCCTTTGATTGGCAAAGGTTGTGCTGTGGTCCTGAGTCATGGGGAGGATAAAGCGTGGAGGAACTTGAAGACGAAGAGTGCTTGGCGGGGTCCATCACCCAGTACTTGGGCACCACCGTGCAGGTCCTAGCTGGGTCACAGCAGCAGGGCCTTCAGGGCCTCCCTCTCAGGGCGCAGTGCTAAGCTCGGGCACAGTTCCCAGGATCGATGGTGCTTCCGGAAGGGGACCCCAGCTGCAGTGCCGGGCTGTGTGAAGCAGTTCCACCCATTCAGTCAGGTTGCTATAAGTAGAGGACTGGGGCTGGTTGGTTTTTGAGGAGTAAACAATAAGAAATTACATATTTTACATTTGATACATAAATTTTACATCATACATATTTTGTAGGTTATAGGTTTCTGGGGTTTTTTTTGTTTTGTTTTTTGTTTTTTGGGGTTTTTTTTGTAGATTCTTTGCTTTCTTCTCCTGTTGCTTTAGCCATTTCTCCAAGAATCAGAGCTAACTTTAAACTTACTGAGTTTGTATCGTGAGGCATCATTCACTCCTTTCCTCTAAAGCAAGTTTTCTTTTTTTTTTTTTTTTTTTTAATTTTAAGGAGAAAAGAAAAAAAAAAGCAGAGAAAGGGTACAAGTTATACAGATTTACAGAAAAAAAATAAACACTAGGAAATCACTAGTTAATGGATTACATATTGTCATCTTAGAAATAATTGTTCAAGTCACAAAATTAAAGCTTGTAAAGTGGACATTCCATCAATGATACTGCAAACAGTTCTGTTCAATGATCCAATAAAACTCTGTGATATCATTTTCTATCTTATACACTTAAATATACATGCAGTTATATAGTTTAGAGCACTTTCTTTTCCTCTCTTTTGTACAATGACTATTACACATTTTGGGTTTCATTGCTCCCACAGTTCTTATTACTTTTTTGGAAGAGAGTAGGGGGGCTGGGGATTTAGATGGGGGGCTGGGGATTTAGCTCAGTGGCTTAAGCGCCTGCCTGGCAAGCGTGAGGTCATAAGTTTGATCCCTGGCACCAAAAAAAAAAAAAAAAAGAGGAAGAGAGTAAAACCAAATGTGACATAACAGAACAGAATCGGTCAAGTCAAAAGGGTGGACATAATAGATAATGTAAAAACATAATACATCAACAATGGTTACCATAATGCCTCCCGCTATCTCTAATAGAATTGCCTATATCATTAGTTATAATACAATTGAACAAAACAGTAAAGAATAAAACCGACAAAACCAAAACATTGGAGACATTGTAGGTCTTCAAAAGTAGATAAAAGTCAACGAGAATGGGCGTTATAATGAATCTCATTATCTTCACAGCTGATGCCTAAACTTTCGAACCTGATACTACCCAGCAAAACAGAATAGGGGAACATTAGTCAAAAACAAGATGGTGAGAGTAATACAGGGCTTCAAATTGAGATAATGGAAAGTCAAAGTGGGTTACTATAATATATCCTGCTATTTTTTTTTCCTGCTATTTAAAGCAAGTTTTCAAAAGAAGCTAGCATTCTGATTCCCAAGAAAATCATTACTGTAGCCTGGTACAGTAGATACTGTGTAACTGGCTCAGTGTTCAAGTGTGGCATCATTGTGGAGGTATGCAGGAGAACTTGTTACACACACGAGTGTGAATTTCAGGGCACAGAGAACAGAGAGACAAGCCAGACACTGTGGCACACACATGTCATCCCAGCACTCAGGAGGCTGAGGCAAGAGGGTTGCTCTGAGTTTTAAGGCCAGCCTGGGCTACATAGTAAGACCCTGGCCCAACCAAAAAAAAAAAAAAACAAGAAAAAAAAATCAAATAGGAATCCATTATTTCTTGTGTTTGACCTCACAGATGCATGTTAGTAAAGTAAGAGGCAGCTGCTAACCTCTTTGGTATCAGGAGCTGCTGTGTGATAGTGAGCATCTGAGGCATCCACGTGGGGTGTGCTGTTAGGGGCGCAGGTGTCAGGATGTGGGAGGTGCTGTTCTCCCCACCCTGCCATGGTGGATGGTCAGCCTGCGTTTGTGCCTGGAGCCTTCCCCACCTGCAGCCCTCCTTGCTCACCCACCTAACACTGCTCTTTGAAATTCCCTGCAGCAAAACCCTTGAGGATCGGTTGAAACTGGAAGCCAAACATGGGACATTGAGCGTGGCTGACACCAGTGTGGGGAGCAAGCAGCTGACCTTCACGCTGAGGAAGGTGAGTGCTCCTCGGGGTTGGTTTGGACCTCTTGGAGGGAGACGCAGGCCCCTGGGCTGGTGTATGTGCATCAGCCTCTGCCATCCTCCTGCCAGACTGGTCCCTCTTAGAGAAAGTGATAGGCCTGCCCAGTGGCCCCGGCACCCAGAGCCCGGGCACCTGAGCCCTGTGTAGCCCCATAAAGTGGAAGTCCTCGCCCCTGAGGACATGGCGTGAGTGATGGTGCCCACTTATAGTCCTGAAGGATCGAAAACTGGAAACCCGCCAGCTTGTGTCAGAATGGAAGAGAGGAGCCAGGGGTGCTGCTCCCTGCCGGGCCACCAGGCCAGCATGAGGCCCAGGCTCAGCCTCCAGCCGTGAGGACCAGGACGGGGCACACCATCATCCCTGGGGGCAACCTCCCTGCAGGAGTCCTCACCCCCTCTTCTCTTTCAGTCTGAGCAGCAGAAGCAGCGGCAGGAGGCTGAGAAGCTGCACCGCCTGGAGAGGAGGCAGCTGCGCCGTTCTGCCGGCCACCTGCACTCCCGGCCCCGGAGAGGCCGCCCATTCCCCTGAGTGGCCCACCTGGATAGATGGACAGATGGACAATGTCTTCTCCTGGTCAGCAGCACCCTCATTTCTGTACCCCGCCCACCACTGTGTTAATATTGTGCAGAACAGTGAGGTGCAGGGACGCCTGGCCTGTCACCACCAGGGACCCCAGGACACTATCAGCACGGACCTGCTCGCCCCATCATTCATTTAAGGCCCTTTAGAACTGTTTTGTACCAGCTGGGCGCCCCAAGGCTGCTGCCCATGTAGGGGGCGTGGCAGTCGCTGCACCCTCCCCGCTAGAAGACAAAATGGGCCTTTCTGGGGCTGCGGTTAGAGGGACGTGCTGGAGGAGCCGTTTGTAGAATAAATTCTTCCCTTAATGCAGCCCCTGTGAGTGGCGCCCTTGCCTCGGTTGAACATGGAAATGGACTCTGGTCCTGTTGTCATTGGGCGCAGCTGCGGGGCCTCAGGGACCGTGGGCTACTCCCTGTAGTGAGGCCATGCCCTCTGGCGGCCTGGAGTTTCTGCTGCGGGGCACGGTGTGGTGTTGCCTCTCAGGTGTCCACCTCTTCTGCCCGCCCTGCCGCCCCATGGGCAGGGACAGCATGAGTCAGTTGTCCCCTCTGTGGCCCTTCGTGCTGGTGATTGTCCTCTGCACAGTTTGTGGCCCCCAGGCTAGCATGTGTCTGGCCGCAGAGCAGGAAGGACTCTTGGTTCCCTGGTGGCTGGTGACACAGCAGAGGCCGAAGCAACAGAGCCTGGGGACTACAGGCTTCTGGCGTGTATGTCCCCTGGGGTCAGGCCAGAAGGGACCTGAGTGGTGCTGTGCCCCTGGGTTCTTGGCTCTGTTTCTCTTGGGACCCCAAAAGGCAGCTTGGCCAGGGCGCAAGTCACCTCCTGTCCCAAGGATGGACCCACACCCCGCCTTGCTGGTCTCAACTTACAGTCAACACTGTCCCTGCCTGGCGCTGTTTCTCCAGGGTCTGGGCTAGCCAGCTGCGGTCCCTCCCACCCCAGTGCCGTGCCTTTTCCAATGGCATTAGCTTTGGTTGGTGGCTGCAGGCAGGAAGTGAGTGGGGACATCGAGCCTGACACCTCCATTGTCCTCCCAGCAGCATCAGAAGCTCCCAACCTTTCTGTCAGCTAGCTAGGGCAAGGAAGTATCACTTTGTCACAGTGACCCAGGGTCCTCGGGTTTCGCTGAGGATTCTCTGTCCTGTGCACAACAGCACAGAGGTCGGTGTGACACTGCCTCGGTGGTGCGGTCCCAGCACGCAGTGCTGTGTAGTGGTTTATTTACCGCTTTGCCTCTTGTTCAAACTGAGACCATGAGGCCAGAACTGGAAAAGCCATTGGGGTCGCAGGCACGGCAGTGACCTTGTAAACTGTTTTAAAAGGTTTTGTTCTGTGTTAAACTTGCAGTGCATATGAACCCCGCCTGGCTGTTCTGTTTAATTGGGTTTTAATTCTTCCTTTGTGTGTCAGGAGTCACACTCAGGGTCTTGCGCTCATCAGGACCAGTGTGGGCTACAGCTGAGCTCCGCTGGCTCAGTGAACTGGACTGGAAGTGATTCTCAAACCTGGCTTCAACTTCATGGCTGAGGAGTTGCAAAATCAGAAATGAGCATGTGGGGCATCAGCGGGGAGGCCACCCAGACCCCGGGGGGAGGTGTAGGGTTTATACTGTGTGTAAGTACTGTGCCTAAGTATTTTATTGTTTCTCTGATGTCCCTAAAAGGTTTATGTATACAAATTGATACTGGTGTTTTTTCTCCTTGGGAAAGCATGGAACTGCCTGATACTTTGAGTTTGCATGTGTTTTGGCATCTGCAGTGGCTCAATTTAGGACCCCATGTGTCTCTTTGAACATGCAGGGAAAAGTCCAGCCTAACCGCTTTTCTTCTTTTTCTTGAGACAAGGTCTCAATGTGTAGTGTAGGCTGGCCTGGAAGACACTGTGTAGTCCATGCTGGCCTCAACCTCGCCACCATCCTCCTGCCTCAGCCTCCCAAGCACTGTGATTACAGGCGTGCACACCACACCTGGCAGCTTTTATTCTTAAGTGTAATTTTTGTATTCATGTGTAAATTTTTCAAAATGAGCTCAATTAAATAGTTAATATTTGAAGGCTGTATTTTGGGCACCTATGTGCCCCGAATACCCCATCTGTCTCGAGCACAGCGCTGGTGAACAAGGTCTGCTGATGCCTGTAAGGTGCTGTGACCTGGTGTGGCGGGGCCTGGGCCTGAGGGTGTGGAATCCGGGCCCTCCCCGAGATCAGGCGGAAGCCCTGCTGCTGCCTTCCTGCCTGGAGCGCTCCAGCACACATCTCATGGAGCAGGAAGTCATTACCTCCCCACCTGCGCTCCTCAGCCTGTTTGTGACCGGTTCCAGATGGGGCTTCAAAGCCACGGGACAGGAGCCAGGCCAGCTCTTCCTGGCAGCCTTCAGTCTTGGTCATTTATTTATTTATTTGTTTTTGTTTCCTTGAGACAAGGTCTCACTGTGCAGCCCAGGCTGGCCTTGAACTCACTGTGATCCTCCTTCCTCAGCCTCCCTGATGCTGGGGTGACAGGCAGGCACCACAGCTCCTGGCCCTGCATCTCCTGCACTGTCTGCAGTCTGCAGCTCTGTCTCACCCACTGGGGAACTGACATCTCTCCTTGCGTTCCTCTGCCTTTGGCAGTGTCCCTTTCTTGGCTGCTTCAGAGCCAACTCAGACACGCATGGCCCACTTGAGTCAAAACCACTCAACAGGAATCTAGTCAGGTGCATCCCAGCCCCCCGAGTGCTTGGTCTTCACCTCTGTCCTCTTCCTCCAGGCTGGCAGCTGTTTGCTGGCCAGGCCCCCTGGCCCCTGTACCGCCTCTTGGTCCAGCCAAGTCTGGGCTCTGGGCTAATCCTTTAATGAGGAGCTGTCCAATCCCAGATGGAGTCTTCGTCTGCAAACAGGAAGAAACGGGAGGAGCCCGGGCTGGCCCAGGCTTGTGGCAAGGCTGCCAGTTAGTGGCAAAGTGACTTCACCTGCCCGGGCCTCAGTGTCTGCATCTGTGAAATGGGTTTAAGAGGAACTCCCCCCTCAGGACTTCAGAGGGGTTTGTGGAGATTAATGAGCAAGGTCCATTAAACACCCAGAAGAAAGGCAACAAACTAAGGCACTATTGGAATTGGCCCTGGGCTCTCCCACCGGGTCCAGGCTTGTAAGAGGGTAACCATGGCAATAGACTTGGTGGAAAAGCACGCCTTTCAAAGGCCTTGAATCCTGCCAGGGCAGGGAAAGTTTCCTTTGCAGGTTTCTGCTATAGCTGGGAGCTGCACAGCCCTGAGCAGTTGTCCTATGGTGACAGGACACACCCAGATGGTCAGCTCATGCCACCCCACATTCACTAGACTCAGGCTGGTCATCGCTGCACAGAGAGCCTCAGGAGGCTGCAGCAGGAGAATCGCTGTGCGTTTGAGGCCAGCTTGGGCTTCCTAGTGAGACTCTGTCCCAGAAAAGACTCAGGAGACTCAGAAAAGACTGATAAAAACTGTAATTGCATGTTGGAAGCCAAGATTGAAGCGAGGAGAGGGTGACTGGACATTGTGAGCCGGTGCAGGGCCACGGTGCTCCCCGATGCCGAGGGTCTGCCGCTTCGAGAAGGCAGCCCAGGGGTGCTGGGGGACACGGGGTCACACTGCAGGAGGCTGAGGCAGTGAGGTGCCTAGCTGGAATCTAGCTCCATATGGCTGTGCTGAGGGAACCAAGCGCCGAGTGCCAGGCAAGTGGCTGGTTTGAAGCCAGGCTTTGCTAACTGTCTGGACACGGAAATGTCAGGCTTCCCAAGGCAGGCTGCGTGGGCCCCGCCTGAGCAACATCCCCAGCCCTGTTTACTTGTTTTGAGACAGGGTCTCTTTAAGATGCTTAGACTGAGCTTGAGCTTGAGATCCTCCTGCCTCAGCCTCCTACACTGCTGGATGGCAGGTGTGCACCTCTGCGCCAGGCTCGGTTCTGCTGTTTTAACGGCTGCAGTCGGTGTGGCTGGCAGCCCGGCCTCACGCTGCCTGCATCCCCTTCCCCAGGCTGGGCTGCTCCTTCCCCTGAGAGTGTCTGTGAAGGTCTCCGGGCTCAGAAGCATCTGGGGGCAGGAAACTGAGTCGCGTTGTCCCCATCAGGCACCCCCAGGACAGGGGAGGCCAAGAAGTGGTCATTATCTCCCAGGCCACACATCTGCGGCCATGACTCCACTCCAGTCACTCCTGGCTCTTAAATGGTTTCTGCACCTGACACAGGGCCTGAGTCATGGCTGGGGGGATCCTGGGGGGCCAGGCAGCGTGTTCAGGCCACCTGCTCCAGCCAGATGCCACCCTGACCTGCAACCAGGCACTGGCCTGCGCCTCGGGCTTCACCGTGATGCCCTCACAGTGGCACACATCTCTACTCCCGGCACACTAGAAGGCTAAGGCAGGAGGATCTCAAGTTCAGCCTGGGCAACTGAGTGACTTAGTGAGACCCTGTGTCAAAACAAAGTAAAAGGACTGAGAGCCCCGTGGCCTCTCTTTCCGGGCCTGGAGGAGGAACCCAGCGTCGGGGGATTATTGCTTCCTGCACGCACGACTGGGCTTCCTTCCTGTGGCCGCCACCCCTGGAAAATCAGGCGCGTGTATCCTGGGCAGCTGGGCTGCAACTCCTTCCTGCTCATGGTGGGAGGAGAATCTGGGATAAACATGGAAAGAGGGGAGGGCCCTCCCTCAGGGAGACAGTGTGGCCACCCTGCCGTCAACAGCAGTGAGACCTGTGGGGTCTCACGGGACAAAGGACAGTGGAGGGTCCTGGGGGACTCCACAGCCTGTAATGTTACCTAGGTGTGCCCAAGGGTCTGGGGTACAGCCCTACGGCTGTGGAGACAGCTGTGCTGCACCTGGGCTAACTAAGCCTCCTCCTTGTGGCTGGAACTTCATGTGATGGCCTGAATCCCAGCAGCCATCTTGGGCCAGGAGGACAAGGACTGCAGCCCAAGGAAGAGGCACTAGAAGCCAGGGGTTGGGAAGCTGCAGTCAGAGCTGCTTGGATAGGAGGGGACGCCCCCTTTGGTTTCTCTGCCTTGCGGGTGCCAGACCGACTCACAGGTGTATCTAAGGGATGGTAATGGTTCTCCTGGCAGGGAGAGGTTTACATCTCTGTATTCTTTTGATCTCAGAGTTCACAGGAAGTATTTCAGGCTCGTTGAATCTAAACTTTTGTAATCCTCTTATTAGCCAGGGGGTCATGAAATCTGTACAGCAATCCCTCCCTGTTTGTCTCCTTTCTGTACTAGGGACTGAACCCAGGCCTGCACCCTGAGCTCCACCCCCATCCCTTTTTACTTTTTATTTTGTGACAGGGTCTTGCTAAGTTGTCCAGGCTGGACTTGACCTCAGGACCTTCCTGCCTCAGCCTCGCAGAGTGCTGGGATTACAGGCATGCACCAGCAGGCCTGACTCAACCTATCCCCGTGTAGGTCCCAGACAGGTGCTTCTGGGGTGTCGCAGTGCTGATCTGAGCCCAGTCTGCTGACGCCAGGCCCAGCTGACGTTGCTTCTTAGCTCGGTGGTGGCTGTGTGTTGGGCTGAGGGGGTGGACAGGAAAGGTTTGGGGGAAGGAAGGGCCAGGGTCAGCAGGCAGGTGGCCGGAGGGTGTGAGGCCCTGTGGGGCAGCTGTGATGGGCAGCTGCAGCTGGGGAGGAGCTCCAGGCCCCAGAGGCCAGCTGTGCCGGAGGCCTAGGAATAGCTTGAAATGGGACAGGCTCCCGGAGCCACAGGCTGGCTTCTTGCGTTATTTTTTATTTTTTTGTTCTGAGAATTGAACCCAGGGCCTTCACACTGAGCTATGTCACCAGCCTTTTAAAAGACTGGCTCGTGATAAATCACCAAGTTGTCCAGGCTGGGCTCAAACTTGTGATCCTTTTGCCTCAAGCTCCTGGGATGATAAGTGTGCACTGCCGTGCCCGGCTCACACACCTGAATAGCTGGCTCGTGAGTGGGCACGCATGCACTTTCAAGCACCACACACCTTTGCAACCCCTCCTGTAGGGTCTCCGTGCCCAGCTGGAATTTGAATCAGTCTCAAGGCCATCCTGTCTGGACTGTGCCCTCCATGCTGACGTGGCCAGGTCAGTGGACTGCAGGGCAGTGTGTGGTCCTCAAGTTGAGCAGGATGTTCTGGGGTTGCTTAGAACAACTTTTATTCTTGTGTGTGTTCCAGGAATTGAACTCAGGCCCTTGTACCTGCCATGTGGGCGCCACGCCACTGAGCTATGCCTGCAGCAGGAAGGACTGTGGGACCCAGGAGACACCATAGGTGCGGGTTTCCTGCAGGAAGCTCAGGCTGGTGACAGTGAGGGAAGAGCATTCTGGAAGGAGATGCGATGCGTAGTCAGTGAGGGCTCGGGTGTATGAGGGGCAGCAGGTTGTCCTGACAGCAGTGGTGGGTGATGGGGACCTCGGGTGAGAGGGATCAGGCTGGGAAGGACTCGCACAACCTGGCAAGTGTGGAGAGCTTTTGTTCATTTTTGCAGTCTGACTAATAATGCTCCATCATCCCTTTTGTCAGCCTGTTGTTTTCACAAAATAGAGGGACTTTTAAAAATATTTTTGATAAATGTGCTTAAAATCTGCCAATTTGCCTCATTGGTGTGGTTTTTGGATGAAGTGTGATTGAATTATATGGTGAATGTTTAAATTCTAAAAATGTGTTACAGCAAAAGACACATTGCCACAAGCCCCCTCAGAGTCC